GCCCTTTGCTATGGCTCGTGACCCTCAGTCCTGTTTACCCAGTGGAGATCACTAGGAGTAGTACCGTCAAGTCATGCGTGGAGGAGTAGGAGATGCAGCAGGAGGTAGGCTGTGATGAGAGAACAGGAAGTTTCTTGAGCCTGTTTCTGGATGACCCCACTCTGACCATTTGCAAGCCACTCTTTTCTGTCCCTGGTGTCTTCCTTATCCCTAACCTGATTCTGAACCTCCTTCATCAGCATTGGTTGAGTGTACGTGGTGAGGTGGGCATTATACTAGTCTCTAGGGATATAAAAATGACTAAGACAGTCTCTGACCTCAAGTGGCTCCAAGTCTAAGCGGGAGGCAGATATGGATTTCAGGAGATGCTAACACTTGATGAGCATGCTAGTAGAGACACCAGGCATGCCCAGGGTGCCGTGGGGTTGGGACAGGATGCCTAATTCTGGCTAGTCAGGGAAGGCTTCCTCCTCTGGAGGTGCTCTTTGGGCGGAGGTCTGAAGGGTCTTCAGGGTGTGTGGATGTGTGTGTTGGAGGGAGAGAGACTGGGGACAATACAGGAATGCAGATACTCAGAGATGAGGAAGCCATAAGGTATGACGTAATGGCAGCTAGCTGTGTTTTTCTGCATATGTGTTTTGAACATCCTTGATATGCTGGAAATTCTCCTTTGGAAATAATTTAATGGTGGCAGCTAGCTCTCAAGTATATTCTTAGGGTTCCATGGACAAAGTACCCTAGTAGGTTACAACTGGAGGAAGTTTTGTTCCTAGTGCAGTTCAACTGGTTATGCTGTGCAGTGTTGCCAGCAGTCTGGCCCTGGGTCCGAGTTGCTTCTGACAGATCATTATTGCAGTATCAGCCCCAGGCTCCACGGCCTGGGCCAGGTTCTCATTCCCGCGTGAATGTAGCGAAGCCAGGGAATGTTTTCTCTGCCTGCATCTGATTGGAATTGAAGTTTATGTTTATTATCAGGTTCTCTTCTAAGTGGCTGCCAGTGGAGTCGACAGCGGGCCGACTGTGGCAGTCATGTGAGGAGTTAGAGACACTGCCAGTGAGCACCATGCCCACTTGGTTTTATGTGGCTGCAGCTGTGACTGCTATATGTGTGGATTTTTTAAAATGAGAAGATAGAAAACATGAAAAAGATACTTGTCCAAAAATGTGAATATTGGGATATTTAGTGCTTCCTTCCACTTTTAAAATCAGTTATGTAGCTTATTTATTGAAATAGAATTTAGATATTTTGGAGCCATTTCTAATTTTTAAGATTTGAGATTGCTTGGACCCCGAACTTCATTTTTACCTGCCGCCAGCCAATTTTAAGTCATTCTGTCTTTTTGTTCTATAAAAGATGGCCATATTTCATGACAGTTTACTGTTTACAAATCTGTTACAGAATTTTTAATTGAGATATTCCAGCAAGTACCTTCTGATGGCTAGGTGTCTTTATTCATGGTGATAACGTTATTCACAATAATTTACTGAGCATCCATTTGATGAACTATCATAGTTTTTGTTCAAATATCCACGTTCAGGTAGTTCTGTCAAACACCTGTGGCGCATTGTGTTATCACACACGGATTGTATTGTACTAAATGTTACCTTTTCTCCTCTGTGAGTGAGTGTAGTCATCGTACCTGCCTCAGGGTTGTGTGAGGACTTTAATAAGTAGATAGGATTATATGTAGTCATATATTAATACATTAAACACTTACTGTATTCTAAGTTTGTGCTAATAAGTGCTTACCTGTGATACCTCATTGAATCCTCGTCAAATCCAGTCAATTGGATGCTGCTGGTCTCCCCATCTCACAGATGAGGAAACTTAGATGCTAAGGAGGTTAAGTTACCTGCTGAGGGTTAAAGAGCTAGTAAATGGCAGTCAGGATTTGATTCTAGACTGTTTGAGTCCAGACTTTGGTGTTTTGTCCTGTGCTTACTGCATACGTCAAAGCCAGGTTATTCATAGCACAGAATCCCCCTTTACGCCTGCTGGCTGGACAGATCGCTTGCCTGCCAGGCTGTAGGACGAGCGAGTTAAACACACTAAAGAGAGCCACCTTAAGACACCTGGTGGCCTCTAGGATGGGAAAGGCATCTCTTTCTCTCAGAGTTCAGGTGACTTGGGCTGTCCTCCACCTCCCTGGTCTTGTGGACCAGTGGTCGGTGCTGCCCTGCTCAGTGGGTGCTGGGTAGGTGGCCAGGTCTGTTTTGGCTATAAGCCACATGAGGAATTGCTGCTTTATGTAACAGAAGAATCTCTTAGCCTGAGCCGCATATGCATGTGGTTTTATAACCCTGGTATTTTCTGTCTTTAATATGTGTATATGATTCTACTGGGGCGATTTGTCTTCACAATGTTACAAATACTTGTAGGCAATAATGATTTTTCCTCACCACCTTTAGTCATCCTTTAGCCAAACTGAATAAATGTTTGTCTCTTTCCATTCTCCTTTACGAAGCGGAAGGCACTGGAATGCGATCATTTCTGTAGTGGCTTCTGTGGTTTTCTAGGTGCTGTGTGTTCTGTGGTGACATGATGCCTGTGTATTTTAGGAGGGCGGGGGGGAAAGAAGAAGCTGAAACCCTATTGATGCAGAGTGATGCGGTGGGAATTTTAAAAGCCACAAAGATTTACAGGCTAAGTCTGAGGAAATAGCTGTCATCTATCAGTGAAGTTTCTTATGTGATACTCTTGTATGTAAAATATTTAATGACTCTATTGTGCTAAACTTTAGTCAGTATCTTCTGGTGTTTTTCTTTTTCTTCCTGTAAAATTATCTTAAAGTAGTTGCAAAATGAAGTATTTTTAAGTGGCTGTGCTAGTTTCTGTGATTTTTTCACAAATTTTGTATTATCCACAAATTTGCTAAATACAAGTATCTTTTGTTATGCAGATGTTTGGTTCTGAGCTCTGATAGTAAAAGTTCGGATACTGAGGAATATCTCATCTGAAATTGCTTGCTTGCTAAATTTCAGATAGTGAGTAGCGGAATCAGATATATACATCGGGGAAAATGTATATACGTCGTTTTTGTTTCTAAGTTCCGGTAGTAAGGGATACCTGTATACCAGGGTTTCTGACCCTTGACACTATTGACATTTGAAACCAGGTAACGTTTTGTTGTGGCGGACCATCTTATACGTTGTGGGATGTTGAGCAGCGTCCTCAGCCTCCACCTGCTAGATGCTAGTGGTATGTCTCTCCTCCCTTCAGCAGTTGTAACAACGAAATACGTCTCCAGACATTGTCAAATTACCCAGGGTGGTTGGGGGGGGGGGTGGTAGACGGGTGGACTGGACTGGCCACATTGCCCCTGGTTGAGAAACACTGCTGTATACCGTTGCCCTTAACTGAATTTGTAGATAATGTGCAATTGAGAATAGCAGACTATAGCCACCCGGAGGTACTTTATTTAATCAATTACGTGGAGATGATGTTTAAGTAAGAAAAATACAAATAAAAGAGAGGAAGAGATTGCCTTTAGAAGTTAAGTGCAAAAAGGTCATTAAATTTTTTACATAAAAAGACTGTCGCACGTTAAACCTTATGGTTATATGATAGCTGTTTTCTTAGACTTGGCCGTATACTGCCTCTTCCATTTGCTTTTCCTCTCTGGAAATTACCAACAGTGCTTATTTATAGGTTCTCTTAGTACCATGAGAAGCAGTTTTAGTCACCAACTAGTTCTTCTCCATTGATCACAATTAAACCTCAGCTAGCCCTTCTTTCTGTTACTTTGAAGAGTTGAAATTTTCAACAAGGCAAGAATTGATCAGAAGGTGTGCATTAAGGTCCTTCAGCAGCTACCTGGACGGGGTTGCCTGTCACTCCTGTATTTGGCCTCTGTGCTGTAATTGATGCTGGAAAACATACCATTCCTCTGACTGGGCAGGATGTGCAGTTTCATCCTTCATTTTCTCCTTTTCCTTCATCACACTCTCTGTTACTCTTGCATAGTCAGTGGCAGATAAATGCCTTCTTATATATGTTGTGTTCTCATTCCCTTCCTGTGAGCTTTTTACTTTGAAGGCATTTATCTGTATTATTGCTTTATTTCATTTCTACCATTTTGTGAAATTCAAAGTGTCAGTTGCATGCATACTGGAAAAACTCATCCTTTTGTTCTGAAAGTGAATAGAATGTGAGGCATTAACTTTTTTTGTTGTTTTTTTTTAAACTCTTGACGCCACTGTCCAGTATAGTTATATGGATACAAAATGAGTCTGACTAAATGGCTGCACCTTCCCAACAATCTCGTTGTATTGCCAAGGCTTTCAGATCTTTAGACATTTCTTCTGTTATACATACATAGTATCACCCTTCTGAAATATAAATGTTCATCGTATTTTATATCTGAAAAGCATCATATAACTAAATTTATAACTTAGATTTTATTTAGTGAACACATTTTTTTTTCAGTGGTATAATTATCAGTACTTTTATATTGTTGATGCCCTCCCAATTAAGTAGTCAATATGTGAATCCGATATATGGTAATTTTGATGAAAAATTTGCTTTATGTTCAAGATACTGTGCTGTTTTATGCTATGACTATCATATCTTTAGCACAGAAATAGTAATTATAAATAAAATGTATTTTTTGTAATATTGCCGTTTTGGAATACTTAGTTATATTGAAATTTTCACTAAATCTTTTCTAGAATTAAGTTCATATGTCTTAGGAACTAGCAGAGAAATCTTCCCTTAGGGTATGCCAGAAGAAGAGCAAGTAGTTTTGATAATGAAATGGGACCTTACAGAAATATTTCTAGAGAAGCTATAATAATTCAAATAAAACTAAATTGAGAAGGAAGAAAAAGAGAATTAATTGTTTTTCTTTTTTGAATATCAGTGTTTCGGGTAATGGTGGCAGCAAAAAGCTAAAAGACCATTCTCCTTTGCCTGTTTTTTCCTGTGCATTATCTAGAACTATCTATTTTAATCTGTCTTGTAACCCAAAATAATGGAAATATGATTTTTATTTTCTTGGTAGGAGATGGAATAAACTGAGACTGCAAGACAAAGAGAAGTATCTGAAGCTTGAAGACGATTCTGAGGAAAGTGATGCCGAATTTGACGAAGGTTTTAAAATGCCGGGTTTTCTGTTCAAAAAGCTTTTTAAGTATGTGCCATGTGTTCTTTCCTTTGTATCTGTCATCAAGCCATTGTGTACAAATGAACATTTTAGGAATTACACAGTAGTTACCTGTGGGCCCTTAAGGTACTTGCAACAATTTATTGCAAAATACAGATACTGTCAAATGAAATTTTAGCCACATGCTGTTCATTAAAATTAGATGATAATAAATTGACTAAAGTGTGCATTGGGTATGTTTATAAACTGATGAATCTGTATGGACCTGTCTCAGCAGACTAAATGCAACACATTTAAAAGCCATCTACATTGAGTTATTTTTTTATTCTTAGTAATTTTAAGGGACCAGCCTCTAATTTCTTAAATCAGATTAATTAAGTAGGAAGAGCTGTATATTAAAATCAATATTGTGGAGGTTTTTTACTTCTGTGTGGAAATAAAAAACCATTGAGATTATTTTCTGAGTGTCTTATATTGTACCTAAGGGTATAATACTTTTGAGCTGACCAAATGTGCATCTAAATATTTTATGTAGATGTTGTTCTGATGTCAAAAGAGGAGATATAGGCAAACACCTTCAGGATTAGGTTGCTGTTAGAAACTGTGTTTCATATGGGAAGTGGCCAGTGTTACAGACAGCCAGAGGCTGCGTGATAGATGCCTGCCCCTAGCCTCCAAGGCCTGGATGTGTCTCCGAGATGAGTGTAAGCACTGGGGCACACTTTCAGTCCCGTCACTCCTGGGATTTACTTAACAAGGTGCTTTAGGTAGCCTTCTTGATGCATATAGGAAGTTAAACCATTGTGTAGCCTCTTTCTGTCTCTTGATCATCACTTGGTAGTTGGGTGCAGGATGCACACTTCTGACTCCGAGACAGTTACATTTAATCTCCTTCATAGATTCAGCCATCAGCCATGCCCTAAACTTGTGCAAGATGTCTGTTTAAAAATAGCATGCTTTTTATATTTTCTCTCAAAGAGCTTATATTATGGTTTAATTTTTCTTTCAGGGGGGTGAGGGGAACAAAGAGGGTAGGGAGTAGTTATTTCAGCCCACTAAATATTATAGGAAAGCTGAATCCTAAAGACGTGGAGTGTCTTGGTCTGGTTGCCGTAACTGGGCAGAAGAACTGTAAAGAAGTTCAAATCTGAATGTCTAGTGATTTTTGTAGGCATTTTATAGTCCAGAGAGGTGTCTGCTTTGTTTATTGCTTCTCCCAAATGAAAATTAACTATGGAAAGGTGAATAAAGATGACATTTATAGGGAACTCTTTTCATCTTCTCTAAAGTGATTGCTTATTAAAGAACAGGCCAAATAGTATCAGTGTCATACTAGCAAAAGGAATACCCAAATTATAGATTAAATTGATTTAATAAAGACAGAATACTTCTACATGTGTAGGAAGTGAAATGGCAAATATCCTCAAGAATCAAGTTGAATGTGCATTTTTGTGTAAATGTGAGATTTTCTAGCAAAGAAATTTGACAGTTAACAGAACCAAACTTTGCTTATGAAGTGTATATAGGATTCATTGTATTGACTGTTAACCCTATTGTAGTTAGTGTAAATACATTTGTTTGTTTGTTTTAATTTGTCTTCATTGCATATTTCTGGAAAGTATTTTTTTGTTTTCATCTTTCATCTCTCAAAAACAAAATTTTAAATATTTCATAAATGTTGTGAAACTTCTGTTCCTTTTCTTCTGCTGTATGAAAAGAAAGTAATAGGATTGATAGTCTCCATTTTTCTTTTATGATAAGTTTTAGCTAGGCCAATTTAATTTTAAGCTATAGATATATTTTTATGGTATTTACTGCACTCTGGAATTAAATTAACAGGGTATAGTTGTACACAAGGGAGTCAGAAGGTACAATTATCTATTTAAGTGCTATTTTCTGCAAGATCATGTTTAACTTTTAAAATTCTGTTTTGAAAGTTTGCCCAGCAAATGCATTTGTCTGTATAATTTAGCAATCAAATGACAAACTTCCATCTTTTGACCTTACTTTTAGCCACACTAGTCAATACAATCTCGGGTTAGTGTGACAATGCCAAGATATACCAATTATCTGTGGTTATTTTGTGATGCTTCAGTCTCGTGGGAGAGGCAGAGTATAGTAATTTCTTTGCTGTTATACAATAGTTTGTAAAAATCTTTAACTTTCCCTAAATTATATACTTTTCAAAGGTTCTGAAAACTGAGTTCTATAACCTGCTTTCATTTAAAGTATGTAATTGTTTTACAGGGTTGTCATTAGGAAATAGAAGCAGCAAAACCTAGATCAGTCAGTGGCACTGCTGGAACCAGAACCCAGGCCCCTAACCCCTCCTCCAGCGATACATGACCACCAACCAGTGTGCTGTGTGGTCTGGGGGCCTTTATGGAAAGAAAGAGCCACTCTTTGCCATCTTCGTACAATGTCCCCAGTTGTTGGGGGTTTCTATGTAGTGATGTGACTTACTGGGCTGCCTATTAGATATTTTTCCTTAAATTGTTTCTTCAGTGTTAATCATCTTCTTAGAAACACACAGTCATCTGCCGTTTGAAGGCCCTTGGAGATTACACGTGTAGATGAGGAAACAGCCAGCACACTGTTGCTGCCTCTCCTGGGTCACATAGAATCCGGATGTCTGAACTGCCTCTGGGGTACCAGACAGGTCACAATTTCTTACTCCTTTCATGATTTCTTGATTGCTTGTCTCCAGAGTCTTCCCACTTTAAGTTGGTTGGCCCCAAACAAAAAGAGGCACTGGACCTCTGCTGGGTGGAGGCAGTGTGGCAGTGAAACACTGGAGTGATCCTGGGAGATTTGGGTCCCTGCTCTGCCCAAAGGAGCTGGTCCCATAGTTGTTCTCTACCTCAGTTAAAGGAGGTTGATTCTGGATTGACTAGAATTTAATGATTCTGGAAACTGATTGTACATTGGTGTTTTGGAGATTTTTTTGAATACGTCTTTTTCCAAGGCTGAGATTAGTCTAGTGTAGCCAGTTCACAACCAGCTTTTATTCTAGATATGGGTTTCTCATCTTCAGCACAACTAACATTTTGGACCAAGTAATTCTTTGTTGTAGGGACTATCCCGTGCATTGTAGGATGTTAAACACTATCTTTGGCCTCTGCCCACTAGATGACAATTGGATTTTCCTAGTTCTAATGAGCAAAAATGTCTCTAGGTATTGCCAAATGTCTGCTAGGGAACAAAATAACCCCTCTTCGAGAACCACTGGTCAAGATTCTCTCAAGTGGAATCACTTTGGAATCAGAGGTCCTGGATTTCACTTCTGGCTTGCTAAATTTTTTCTAGCAGTGTGACCTTTTGCAAGTTACTTAACCTCTCTGTGCCTGTGTTTCCTAACTATAAAATGGGCTGATCATCTCCATGCAGGGTGATTTTGAGGCTATATCCAAACCGCCAGGCCTGGAGCCTCCCCAACAGTAGGCTCCTTAAGTGGTAACCATTTTTCTCTGATTACATACCACATGTTAATAGAACTTCTTCTTCCCCAAATACATGATCTTTTATCCATACTAGACTTTATTGTGCTTTGATTTTTAATCTTCTTTTCCAGGGTACATATTCAGTGTGTAAATTATAATTTAACAAACTTAATAAGCAGCAAAATTCTCATTCGGAGTTTTCCTTATATGGTGATAATGGCAGCAGCTGGAGTCACACTTTTGGAATTGATTTGCAGAATACTGGGGGCAGGTTAATTATGAAATGTTTACTGAGAGGAGGAGGTTAAATAAAGCTGGTTTAACAAGGACTGAAGTCCATAGTGAGACTTTAGGTAGACATACCATGTACCCAATAGTAAATGTGTGGGCAGTAAAACGACAGCTAAACCACCTTCTTCTCGGGTAGGAAGCTCATTAGCCTTGGTATTTTCTTTGAAAAAAAATCCTTTAGATTTCATTGTCTTTTAACTTAAGTGTTTTTTGCCTTAGGTTTTTTTTTTACTTGGCATATAATCTTCATACCATTCCACAATGTAATCTTTCCTTCACTCTCAGAAATGCTTTTTGCATTATTCCTTTTTTTTTTTTTGTGAGAAAGATCGGCTCTGAGCTAACATCCATGCCCATCTTCCTCCACTTTATATGGGACGCCGCCACAGCATGGCTTGCGAAGCAGTGCGTTGGTGCACGCCAGGGATCTGAACCGCGAACCCCGGGCCGCCGCCTCGGAGCGCATGCACTTAACCACTTGCGCCACCCAGCCGGCCCTGCATTATTCCTTTTTTTTAACTTGATATTTAGATTATAGATTAAACATGCCATTGATGGAGAAAGGAAAATACGAACTCCTTTTGTTTTAGAGGGGAGTATGTTATTTCTCTTTGACCTGTACTTCTTATTTTAACAGCTCTGACCTTTTTGTATCTATGATAAAGTCCCTGAATCATGTTCTGCTTTAAGATATTAAAAAGACCTTTTTTGTTGTTGACTGTTTAAACTGTTCTTTTTTTGCATCTGCTAGTAATATGACAGAATCATCTCTTATGTAGTAATTTTATGAACAGTCCTATTGTTCAGACTTGTTTATTGCTTTAAAATTTCATTTAATTTTTTCTATTAAAAGATAATATGATTACCAAGTGACTTTTCAACAGTATATGTTGTAAGTTGTGGTATTCTCGGCCCTGTTTTTTGATGCTGTTCAGATTGAACAAGTAAATATTAATGCCTCTTTTTCATAGAAAAATTATTGGAATTCTGTATAACTAAAAATATTTGAGATTTTTTTCCAGAAGGATATTGAATAAAAGATAATAAATTTATGCTCGTTTACCAAGCTATTTCTAATGTTGAAAAAGAAATGAAATAGTCCCTAATTACCCTATCTATCAGTTTAATTAGAAATGTGTTAACATTCTATAAAGAAAAATTTGTGATTTTATGCCTAGGTAATCAAAAATGTATGACCTTATAAATACAATACTCATGTAAAACACACATCCGGCATGCTTCTCTGACTGGTACTAGAACCTAGCCAAATGACTAATTCATGAGTACTTTCTGTTATGATGTGTATTACCCACCATTTGCCATTTTCTTTTTCTTGTTGGTGTTTGTTGTTTTAGGTACCAGCAGACAGGTGTTAGGTGGCTGTGGGAATTGCACTGCCAGCAGGCAGGAGGAATTCTGGGAGACGAAATGGGATTGGGCAAGACCATCCAGATAATTGCCTTCTTGGCAGGTCTGAGCTACAGCAAGATCAGGACTCGTGGTTCAAATTACAGGCAAGTGCTCCTCTGCAGACTGTCAGTCTGTGGAGCTCAATTAATATTTCATCAGATGTATTGCTGTGGAGGAGGGTCTTGTGAATTATTGATGACATTTCAATTACAATATTCCTTTAATTCTTTTAGTGGGGGACATCAAAGGAAAATTTTTACGAGACAATGGAGCTGTAGGGCAGGAGAAATTAAACATGTAACACTTTTAATGAATTCCAGGCATTGATGCTTCATTTTGCAGATGAGCCCCACTAGATATTTTGGGTCAATACTGTGTCTAAGGTTAGCTTCTACAAATGGATTGTTTACAAACTCAATTATGTTAATATCAATAGTTTACACAATATGGAATTTTAAATCAGACATAATACTTTTAGTTCCATTTATTAAATTTTACATTAAAATATTTGTTCTGGCAGGAGACCAGGTGAGCATTACAGGAAGTACAGAGTCTGTTCGTGGGGAAAGTTAGAGCTTTGGAGAAGCCATTCTCCCGAATTTCTTTTATAATCAGTGAGCATGACAGTGTTTATAGACGGCGCTTTTTCTTTAATGAAGTTACTTGTCTGCTCACTATGGTTTCTACCCCCCTCCCATCTTTAACAATTTTATATAAATTGTAAAGCCTAGGTACTGTCTACAATTATAGAAAATTATATTTAGATTATAATCTTTATTTTCTTTAGGAACTTAAACTATTAAAGCTTTCGAATTCTGAAAGAATAAGCATTTAAACTGTGCTAGTTCCGTGTGGTAGGACTGAAATACTTTATCTTGAAATACAGTGAGCATTTCCATATTTAAGCTGTAAATTGGCTTTATGTAAGTCAGTATTAGTAAAAATAATGTAGGTAAATTATTTGGGATATTTAATCTTAAACCTGATAATCCAAGAACTCCTTGGATTCCAATAGGCTTATCTAATGAGGAATAGCAAGATAATTGCCAGGTTGTTATGTGGTAGAAACGTCAGGCATCACTAGATATGATTCTGAGACTCCTTTAAAATAGTGTCGGTGAGCTTGCAGTCAGTCAGCAACTGCAGAAAGGTACCATCTTACACTCGGGTGCATCGGCAGAGAAATGTTTAGTAGAGAGCCAGATACAAACCATGAGCTATTGAGGAGAGAACTTTTTTTTTTTTTTTTTTTGTGGAAGATCAGCCCTGAGCTAACATCCATGCTAATCCTCCTCTTTTTTTGCTGAGGAAGACCGGCTCTGGGCTAACATCTATTGCCAATCCTCCTCCTTTTTTTTTTTTTCCCTCCCCCAAAGCCCCAGTAGATAGTTGTATGTGATAGTTGCACATCCTTCTAGTTACTGTATGTGGGATGCGGCCTCAGCATGGCCGGAGAAGCGGTGCATCGGTGTGTGCCCGGGATCCGAACCCGGGCCGCCAGTAGTGGAGCGCGTGCACTTAACTGCTAAGCCACAGAGCCGGCCCAAGAACTTTTTTTTTAATATTCGGAGTTTAGTGCTTTGTTTTTATTCCTTACTCTTTCATTAATTTAGCAGATAAACACTTCTCATGAAGAGTATTTGAAGTTTTAGAATATTTTAGAAATATTTATATAGATGTAGGAAGGGGAGAAAACATTTGGAGATTTTTTTTTGGTAATGAAGATTAGCCCTGAACTAACATCTGTTGCCAGTCCTCCTCTTTTTGCTGAGGAAGGTTGGCCCTGGGCTAAGATCTGTGCCCATCTTCCTCTACTTTATATGTGGGATGCCTGCCACAGCATGGGCTTGATAAGCGGTGTGTAGGTTCATGCCTGGGATCCGAGCCCATGAACCCTGGGCTGCCAAAGTGGAGCGTGCGAACTTAAGCACTACGCCACCGGGCGGGCCCCACATTTGGAGATTTTTAAATACTGAATGTTTTGTTGTTTTTATTACAAGGAAGTTGTATTGATGCTGAAGTTTTTCTTCAAATATTAGAATTCTATTAACATTTTACCTGGAAACACATGAAAATATTCCAGCCCAAGGGAAAAGTCAAAGTTGAAGTTGGGCATTTAGTGTTTTATTATCTATGTTAGCTTAGCATTTTTTAAAATGCTCTTTTCTAAATAGCCCTTCAGTTGACTTGGCTCCGTAACTCTGCTTGGGTTTTTTTGATAACTAGAATGCCCCACGCTGCCCCAGATGGTTTCTAGGACTGTCTTTCTTTGCTTAAATGATTTCTGGGATTTTCTTATTTCCCATCTCTTTTCTTCTCTTCTCTCCCTATTATCATGAAACTTGAGTGGAGTCTAATACCCTGGGCCTAGGAAACCTAAAGTCATCCCTGCAGTGTAGTTTTGATCTAAAAATTAAAACATGCTCTCTCGAGTGGTGACAATCCTACTAGGAGTGAAGTCAGAGCTAATAATGAGCAGCAGCTGTAATCAATTAACTATCAATGCTCATATCCGCTTTTCCTTAATGAAATAGTGTGGCACGTTGGACTATAGCCCAGATCGTCTTTATTAGAATAGTATTGGTACAAGTGGCTTCCTAGAATGCAGTTATATATCAGCCCAACAACTGGGCTCTTTATGAATAGAGGTGTACTGAAGATCTTGGTTCCCTCCACTTCCATGTGCCAGAGCCAATTTTTTAACATTTTTCTAACTTTTATAACATGTCCTTCCCTGAAAGTAAATGAATTTGGAGTTCTCCTCTATGTTTATGTCCTAAAGAAAAATAGTTAGATGAAGAGTCAAGTGAAATTCTGCATGAGCTGGCGTTGCTTCATTGGCTATGTACATTTTCTCTGAACTCTTGCAAGCTGTAGATTTTTGGGCCTAATTTGAGATGGTGTTAGTGTTGCAATTTTAAGGTCCATGATCACTGAAACAGTGTCAAGTCTCTAGGATACCAAAAAGAAACTTCATGGTTAAAGCAATTGTTTTTGTTTTTTTACTGTTTTTGTATGTGTATTTGTTTTTAAAAGAAGGAGAAGCATATTACATGTGGTTAATAAAAATCTATATTGGTTGTTGTGTTCCCAGTTCATAATGTACATACTACCTTCTTTTCACTTTGCCATTCTTGTTGTAATAATAGGCCCCCTGAATTTTATGATGGAGAGGAAATAAATTATTTACCTTTCAAACTTCAGTTAATACTCTAAAGCCTTGGATATCATTTAGTAAATTCCTAATTACAAATAAATGGCCTGGAAAATCAAAGGTAATTATTTTACTTTGTGATTCCTGGTAGATTCTAGGCTATGAATAGCAGATTTCCATCCTGCAGGTTGAAATATTTGACCTTGGAGCTATTGGCTTGTCCTAAATTCATTAGATAATCGATGATAATCAAAGATGAAAGGAATTCTAGCCAGTTTGGTAATTGATGCTAATCACTCTACTACATTTAGCTGTTTCTTATGCTTATCTCACCGGTATTGAGGGTTGGAAAAGGGTGGTTCAGTTGATGTGACTGTTAATGGATCTGATTGCCCCTTCTGTGGTTCAGGAACAATCTAGGTCTGCTCCTAGATTTCCACTCAGCATGAAACCCTCTGTAGTCTCCTAATAGAGAGAGAATGGTAGAAATTAAAGGCGCAGTAATGCCGGATAGATGTTCAGCCAGAATAAAATATTGGCCTTAAATGACAAAGTGTGAGTCATCAATGTAGCAGTTTATAGAAAGCATGTTCTAAAAAGAGAAAAAATGCTGTATAACCTAAATAAGCATATGTATATATTTATGCTTATTTGAAAGTGAGTTTGTTTTTAAATATTTTAGACAGGTTTTGATTGGTTGTTGCCTGATCTCTGCTAAGTACATACTGATGATACCTCTCTTTTGTTCTCCTTGGAGGATATAAAGAAGCTGGTGCATTAATCCTTTAGAAAGGAATATTGTCATGGAAGGGGCCAGGGCAGAGTCACGCTCTCCCCAGGGAGCTTGAGGGGGTGCCTGCATGACACCTGCCTTGGTGAGCAGCAGAGCACGGCTTAGGAATTCTGCGGGAAGTGTCAGAGTCTGTTGCAGCCTCTGGCTTCTGTCGTCTGAGCCCTTTCTGCAGAGCAGAAGGGCAGCGACAGTGACTGTAGCTGGGAGTTGAGAGGGTTTAGAAGTGAGTGGAGGCATTTTGTCGCATTGGAGTATAGGGGTAAGCCTCATTTATCACCTGCTTTTCTGTTAGAACTATAAGATATTTTTCAGTTCTGCAGAAGATTATTTTTAATATTTTGAACACTGTGATTTACTCTGAGTAATTTACAAAAAAAAATTTTTAAGTTCAGGAATCATTTATTGAGCTATAGCAAGAAAATAAAAATCACTCATGGTCCCCCAACTCAGAAATAATCTCTTTCAACATTTCAGTACATTTTCTTCCAACCTTTAAAAAAACGTGTTCATTTAATAAAGCCAATATTCATTAATTACCTCCTGTGGTCTGGGCGTTGAGATCGTTTAAAGAAGAGGCTGTCTCAATATCCTCAAGGAGCTTAGGGAGAGTCTAACACACAGTTACAATAAGGGTGATACATGTTATGATAGGATTGGTATGGGGTCCTAACTAGTGTGGATGCACTGAGGAAGGGTCCTTAAGCCAATTGGAGAGAAAGGGACAAGGGAAGAATCTATAGAAGAAGCTGACGGCTGAAGGACAATAGATGGTAGCTAGGATAAGAAGGTAAGAAGGGACAGGGCAGGGGTTGAGAGGTCAGAGGAGTATGCACTTGGTAGGAACTGAAGACAGTGCTGGCAGATGGAGTGCTGAACCATGGGGCAGGTGTGGGATGGGGACAGGGAGAGAGGTGAGGCTAAAGAGGTGAGCAGAGGTCAGTCCTCGTGGTCTCACAGGCGAGGTTAAGGTGTTTAGACTGTCCCAAAAGCAGTCGACAAACATTAAAAGGCTTTTAGGATTTTTAAGCAAAGGGATGAGGCATTCAGATTTTGCTTTTTTGAAATGATGATGCTAGAAAGTACAGGTCCCCAGGTAAGAGATGATAGTGGCCAGAACTGGAGTATCGACAGTCTAGACCGAGAGCCAGGGTGACTTTGGGAGGGATTTAGGAGGTAGACTATGAACTCAGTGTAGGTTGGGATATGGTGGAGAACAAGGGCAGACCAAGGAAGGATGAGGCCTGGATTTCCAATTTGGGCACCTGTAGAATGGATGACAGTTCTTTCCATTGGATTAGGAAACATGGGTGGAGGGCAAGGTGGGAGGAGGATGACGGGTGGTACCGTGGGGACATCTAAGTGGAGATGGCAACTGGCAATTAGACATCCAAGCGTATGGTACTTCGGAGTTCAAGAAAGAGATCTGGGCTAGAGACCTAGATTTGGCACCATCAGTATAGAGGGAGTGATTGAAACTGTGGGAATTAATGAGGTAGCATGGGGAAAGTGTGTGCAGCGTGCATCTAGCTTTAGATAGTCAACAACCTTGTTGGGCAGAAAAAGATAGGGGCGGGGGAGAATGATAGTTTAAAAAGTGCTGGTGACTCTGCTCCAGAGTGAGTGAGAGGTAGGCCATGTGGTTTTCCAGTGTCCTCAGGCGGTCTTGGCTCCCAGTGGCCTCCTGTAGCATGAGCTGAGTTTAGTGTTGAAGAGATTCCCATAGTTAGTTTGACTGTTACTTAATTTTCATCTTTTGCACTGACTAGCACCCAACTTCTGGCAAGACTGCAGATGAGGCAGCTCCAGCAATGGGAGTGTTGATGAGGCGGGGTATGGGGTCACAAGCACAGGTGAAGTACTGTTCTCAGACAAGAAGAGGGACGCCTGTTCCATTGTGACAAGAGGGAAAGAGGGCACGATGGTGCAGGTTCAGTCAGGTTCCTGTGGTGTACAGTGTATCAGGATATTTGACTACAAGTGAATAAAACCTGGCCTCAGATTGGGTGAAACGTTCACAATATGTGTGATACACCTAAAAACCGACAGAGGGAGGTGAGCTGTAGACTTAGCATGATCAGCAGCTCCACGATGTCGTCAGGGACCCAGGACTTTAATGTTCTCCTAAGGCCAGTTCTCCGTGTGGTCGTAAGATCTCCTTGCACTGTAGTCCAACTGCACGGTGGCCACTAGGCTATGTTTCCTTGTTCATGTGTGGCGGGAGAGACCAAGAGAGAAAACTTGCCCCCAGCCTCTAGTGTAAGTCCTAGCATACACTGAGTGAGCCGGTCTTACAGGTTCCTTAGTGGACTGGTGAGCATCGCCAAGAATGCTGTGTGCTGGCAGACTGTAGAGGGACCAGGATTCCCACTTCTGCCCTCTTTGCCACGGCCACACAGTGGTCAGAGTCCTGTCAAGTACATGTCTGGGAAGAAAGGGGATACCGTCACGAAAGTGTGGTTCTGTTAGGAAGGAGAGAGAGGAGAAATGGATGTTGAGATAGTGGCCATGACCAGTCTGCTGGCTACCTATGTGTAAGTGAATTGAGTGATTCCATAAGTAATTTTGTTTTTTGAAAGACTTATGAGCATTTTTCCAGTTTTTCTTAAAAATGATTTTGATGATTATATAATATTCCATCTTATTTAACAAACCCTTATAGTATTTACTGTGTGGCACTGTTCTAAGCACTTTACAGATGTTAACTGATTTAATCTTCATATAACCCTGTATGATCAGTACTATTATTATGTCCATTTAAGATCAGAAACTGAGGTTCAGAGAGGTTAAGTAATGTGCCCAGGATCACAGTTAGTGTGTGCAGAGCTGGGTTTCAGACCCAGGCAGTGCTCCTAACCACTAGCTTGTGCTGTAGTAAAGAAATGGGATGGGTTATTCAACCCTTCTCTCATTGACGGACGTTTAGGTAGTGCCTGCTTTTGCCAGTGTACATAATGCTGCAGTGTGTATCCTGGTACACAAATGGTCTTTGGGATTGCTGGGTCAGTGCATGCCTATTGTTAAGGATCTCACTTATGTGGTGCTCAGCTGCTTTCTAGAGGAACGTGCAGCTTGCACTCTATTGGTGTGGGCTTGCGGGTAGAAACAGTCACTGTGTTGCCCCTCCGCTGGTTTTTTCATCCCGTGGAGAAGCAAGCAGCATGATGTAGTGAAGGAGCAGGCTGCAGCCATCAGAAGACTGACTTCTAGGCTCTCTCCGTCTCCTGGAAACCACATCGCCTTGGGCATGCCAACCTTCAGAGCCCCCGGACACTAGAGGGTGTCTGTCCTGCTTACTTCTCAGGGCTGTGAGGTTGATTGAAATTTTGTGGGTGAAAACTCTTGGTAGACTATGGGGCTTCAAATGAATTTAAGATACTCTTACATTCACTTAGGTTAAGATATACTGTATAATACCGTCACTAATCTGAAATAGAAGAGGAAAGGAAAGCATTTGTTAAATAATTTTTGTTTGATTTTCTTTTACTGTACTGTAGATGCTATCTTTTAATGTATTAGCTGGTGTTTTCTCTTAATACTTACATCCAATATTGATAAATAGGATTGTACAGATTTCACTTACTGGGTTTTAACCCCACTAGCTTTTTATTTAAAGAAAATATCAATAAATTTCCATAGCTAGGATTTTCTTTTTTGAACTGTTAAATTTTTGTTTGTTTCTTTTTTTGTTTTTTGGCAGTTGATCATCCATATGCTGTCATTCATGGTTGTGTTTTCTTCTTGGACGTTTTGGGTGCAGGTTTGAGGGGTTGGGTCCGACTATAATTGTCTGTCCAACAACAGTGATGCATCAGTGGGTGAAGGAATTTCACACGTGGTGGCCTCCCTTCAGAGTGGCAGTTCTGCATGAAACTGGCTCCTGTACCCACAGAAAGGTAACATTACGATACTCACTGTCTTTTTGTTTGTTTTGTTTTAAAGCCCTCCATTTTACAGAATTGTTTTTTCTTTGGTCCATGTAGTTCTGAAATGTATTTTCCTGTGTTTCTTTCCTGCATTTAACTTATTGTTGCTGTTTTATTTAGAGCTCTGTATTTTCAAAACAATTACGAATGTAGGTTTATCGTTCTAACACTCTCTAGTGGTGTCCAGACGTGGACACTCTCTAGTGATTGTCCAGTGAAACACAACTGGGTGTAGGCAGGACGCCACAGCCTGAGAGGGTGAATGGGGCTATAAATCAGGGGCTTACATAACAGGTCATTGACTGGATTTGAGGCATTAGTGGCTTTAAACAATTTTAGGAAAGTGGGTACAAAATGTAATATGATAACTATTAATTGGTAAACTCATTTGTTAATATGCTTTTAAAATATATTTTTAATGAACAAAAGAACAACCTGCCATTTTGAGAGTTTTACAATTTGTATTGTTGCTTTTTAGTTAAGTTTCTTTTTGTTGTCTGAAACCTTGATCATCATATAACTATAATCACTGTATTTTTAAAGTTGTATTTCCTCGCTTATTCGTAGTTTTAGCCACGTTATCAGAAAGGAGGTTTGTCTGTGCTCCTGTGGGTAGCACAGATAGGCTGTCTCACCATCTAGACTGTAAGCTCTGTAGAGTAGGGACTGTGTGTCTTACCACTTTTTCTATCACAAGTATGCCATAAGCATTTGCTGAATAAATAGTAATTACACATTGTCACTATGAGTTTGCAGGCTACTTTATTGAAAGAAGGGGCAGTTTGTTATGAGTTCTGTCTTTCCTGGTCTTTGGATCTCTTGAGTGAGCTCTTGTGCACCCCCATGGAAGCAGTGTGGCTCAAAGAGCTGCTGGATGTTGGCGTCCCTGAGCTAGACACATGAGAGCCACTAGACCCCAGTGGCTCTGTAATTTTGCTAATACCCCTTTTCCTCCAAATTCCCATTGTGTTTGTGGTCCTGAGTAAGCAGAACTTTGCTCGAAGTGAATCGGGTATCTGTAATTTGGTAGCTCAAGTTTGGTGAGATGGAGTCCTGCTTCTATTAGCTGTTGTTGAATTAGCTGACTTTGTCCTGAATTTTAAATGGTAAGTGGAAAACTGAGTTAAAATAATTAATGAAGTATGATAAACGCTATGATCAAAAAAAAAGTGATTTTTAGCAGTATGAAAATAATAGTTTAGATTATTTTTCTAGTCGAACGAAATTGTTGTAACTATCCTGTCATCATCCTGGTAAAACATTTTTGATTCATTTTTTTTAGCTTCCGTTGTCTGTTGACATCTCTTAGTGTTTTGTATTGCAAAATCCTATACTGGAGTTCACTAGTTGATATTTGTCTTTAGAAGGCAAATTTTTCATATGTTCTTCTGGGCTTGTGAAGCTATTTCACACCTTCACCTGTATCATGGCTTACCTGCATTCCCTCTGTTATTATAACCTGAAGAACTAGCTTCTTGTAAATAGAATACATTGACTCATTAATGGAAATAGAATTGACATTGGTCAGTGTCTCTATTGGTGAGACTTGCTTTCTTATTTAGGGGGCAAAACCTTAAAAAATAGGTATTTCACTTTTGTTTACAATGATTCCGCCTTCTGAGGTGGTTTTGCACACACAGACACATGCATTCCTATGATTGTTCATAAATTTTTTAGTGCTTTACAGTTTTCCAAGGACTTCAACTTGAAGTTTCTTACTTAACTTTTGAGGAAAAGCAGTAGACTTCTGTTTTTACTCTGACCCTTAACTCTCCTGTTCCTTTCCCATTGTCAAGTATCTCGACGTCTAAAGAGGTAAGCTGTTATGCAGAAGATCAAAAAGATGTTCTTATGGAGAATCTGAATAGACCAATAACAAGTAAAGAGATTGAAATAGTAATCAAAAACCTCCCAAAAAATAAAAGTCCAGGACCAGATGGCTTCTCCAGTGAATTTTACCAAACATTCAAAGAAGATTTAATACCCATCCTCCTCAAACTATTCCAAAAAATAGAGGAAGATGGAACACTTCCTGAATCATTCTATGAGGCCAACATCACCCTGATACCAAAACCAGACAAAGACAATACCAAGAAAGAAAATTACAGGCCAATATCGCTGATGAACATTGATGCAAAAATCCTCAACAAAATATTGGCAAACCGAATACAACAATATATTAAAAAGATCATACACCATGATCAAGTGGGATTTATACCAGAGACGCAGGGATGGTTCAACATCCGCAAATCAATCAACGTGATACATCACATCAACAAAACAAAGAATAAAAACCACATGATCATCTCAATAGACGCAGAGAAGGCATTTGACAAGATACAACATCGATTTATGATAAAAACTCTCAATAAAATGGGAATAGAAGGAAAGTACCTCAACATAATAAAGACCATATATGACAAACCCACAGCTAACATCATACTCAACGGGGAAAGACTGAAAGCCATTCCTCTGAGAACAGGAACGAGGCAGGGCTGCCCACTCTCACCACTCCTGTTCAACATAGTACTGGAGGTTTTGGCCAGAGCAATTAGGCAAGAAAAAGGAATAAAAGGAATCCAAATAGGTAACGAAGAAGTGAAACTCTCACTATTTGCAGATGACATGATTGTATATATAGAAAACCCGGAAGAATCTGTTGGAAAACTATTAGAAACAATCAACAACTACAGCAAAGTTGCAGGGTACAAAATCAATCTACAAAAATCAGTTGCATTTCTATATGCTAATAATGAACTAACAGAAAGAGAGCTCAAAAAGATAATACCATTTACAATTGCATCAAAAAGAATAAAATACCTAGGAATAAATCTTACCAAGGAGGTGAAGGACCTATACAATGAGAACTACAAGACATTATTGAGGGAAATCCACGATGACATAAAGAAATGGAAAGATATCCCATGCACGTGGATTGGAAGAATAAACATAGTTAAAATGTCTATATTACCTAAAGCAATCTACAGATTCAATGCAATCCCAATCAGAATCCCAATGACATTCTTCACAGAAATAGAAAAAAGAATACTAAAATTTATATGGGGCAACAAAAGACCCCGAATAGCTAAAGAAATCCTAAAGAAAAAGAACAAAGCAGGAGGCATCACAATTCCTGACTTCAAAACATACTACAAAGCAATAGTAATCAAAACAGCATGGTACTGGTACAAAAACAGACACACAGATCAATGGAACAGAATTGAAAGCCCAGAAATAAAACCACACATATACGGACAGCTAATTTTCGACAAAGGTGCTAAGAACATGCAATGGAGAAAGGAAAGTCTCTTCAATAAATGGTGTTGGGAAAACTGGACAGCCACGTGCAAAAGAATGAAAGTGGACCATGTGCTATCGCCATTCACAAAAATTAACTCAAAATGGATCAAAGACCTGAAGGTGAGACCTGAAACTATAAAACTCATAGAAGAAAATATAGGCAACACACTATTTGACATTGGTTTTAAAGGAATCTTTTCGGATGACATGCCTACCCAGACTAGGGAAACTAAAGAAAAAATAAACAAGTGGGACTTTATCAGACTAAAGAGCTTTTATAAGACAGATGAAACCAGAATCAAGATGAACAACCAACCAACCAGCTGGGAGAGAATATTTGCAAAACATACATCTGACAAGGGGTTGATCTCCATAATATATAAAGAACTCACACAACTGAACAACAAAAAAACAAACAACCCGATCAAAAAATGGGCAGAGGAAATGAACAGACACTTCTCCAAGGAAGATATACAGATGGCCAATAGGCACATGAAAAGATGCTCAACATCACTAATCATCAGGGAAATGCAAATCAAAACAACACTAAGATACCACCTCACGCCTGTTAGAATGGCTATAATCACCAAGACAAAAAACAACAAATGTTGGAGAGGATGTGGAGAAACAGGAACCCTCATACACAGCTGGTGGGAATGCAAATTGGTGCAGCCTCTATGGAAAACGGTATGGAGATTCCTCAAAGAATTAAAAATAGAGATGCCCTATGATCCAGCCATCCCACTACTGGGAATCTATCCAACGCACCTGAAATCAACAATCCAAAGAGGCTTATGCACCCCTATGTTCATTGCAGCATTATTCACCATAGCCAAGAAGTCGAAGCAACCTAAGTGTCCCTCGACTGACGATTGGATTAAGAAAATGTGGTATATATATACAATGGAATACTACTCAGCCATAAAAAAAGACAAAATCGTCCCATTTGCAACAACATGGATGGGCCTGGAGCGTATTATGTTAAGTGAAATAAGCCAGAAAGAGAAAGACAAACACTGTATGATCTCACTCATATGTGGAATATAAACCAACACATGGACAGAGAAAACTGGACTGTGGTTACCAGGGCGGTGGGGGTGGGGGGTGGGCACAAGGGGTGAAGGGAGTCATATATGTGGTGATGGACAAACAAAAATGTACAACCCAAAATTTCACAATGTTAGAAACCATTAAAATATCAATAAAAAAAAAATGTTCTTTTGCATCTTTAAAACCATACTCTCGACTTACAAACACAGTTTATTATTTATGTTAATACCAGTTTATTATTTGTGATGATGACACATGGAGAATGTGTTAATTCCTTTGCACAGGCCTTGTTAGTAACACTTCCAAGATCAGAACTCTGGCTTCGGGATTCAAACACGAAAGGGACATTTGATTTTTCTGCTCCTTCCTTTTGTATTTGTGTGTACAGATCTTTGTCAACACCCCACACATACCTGTTGGCTTGCAAATGTGTGTTAGATTGCAATAGAGTTTATGTTTCTTATTCATATTTCAAATATTCTCTGGTACTGGTCTGACATCTAACCCAGCATCTAATGTCTGACTTCTTTCCATCCTTACCAGCTGAGATTCCTTTCTGCCGTGGGAGAGTGTTCTGTGCTCACGGCTCTCCTGCCTAAATGTAATGGTGGTGCTCTGGC